AAGTGTGCTAAGTCAGAATATATCATCATCAACTATTGATCATTGGAAGGCGATAAAATAAGTTCCACATTATTTTAAGAGAGCTCATGGACGTTGAGTTCTATATGACAATCATTGTCATACTAGGGTTGAATGTTTTTCAAATTTGGATCGAGAAGAATGTAAGATAAGAGATTTACTTTGAGATATTACGTATTATTTTGGAGAAAACTTAATTTCATAGAATAAGAAACAAAATGTAGTCTCACGATCAAGTGTGAAAGCTCAATACAAAGCTATAGCCAAGTTTATGTGTGAAATCATATGGGTATATCAACTCTTGTGAGTAGCGTTTCAGTCAAACTCTAATTCCTACTTTATCTCTAACACTAATCTTCTAATTTGTAGAAAAGATAAACTTCTATCTTATTTAGGTCTCTTATCTACTTGTGTAAAACTCTTATGTATCCTCTTATGAAAAACATAATTTTTTCTTTGAATAAAATTATTGCCTTGATCGTTAAAACCAAACTTACAGCCTTCATCGTGAAAACCCTAGTTAACATGGTATCAAATTAGGTTCAACCCATTGCTCCTCTTTCTTGGCCGTCATAGTCAACCCTCCTTTGTTCGACTTCCCATCCGAGGCTGGAACTTCCATTGTCCAGCCCTCTCCTTCCGACTCTGCTACATCGTCGATACCATGTCATCGCCTCAACGGCGAAAATTATATTCCCTGGTAGAAGTCAGTGCGTCTGTTCATCACCGGTCACCGGAAACAGCAGTATCTCTCTGAAAATATTCCGATTCCCAACCCTCCGACCCACAATATGACACCTGGCTAACCAAGAACAACATGATTATGCCCTGGCTTCTCAATTCCATGTTGCCCGAAATTGGGGAGAACTTCATGTTATACACCATTGCCTCGGAAATCTGGAACGCTACCTGGGAGACATTCCAATCAAGAAAACTTGACAACCTTATTTGGCATCGAATGCCAGATCAACTTGAAGCAAGGTGATCTCACTGTTACACAATATTTCACTCAGCTATCTCGCTTATTGCAACAACTTGATCTCTTTGAATCTCACAATTGACAAACTGGTGCGGATGCCAAACTCTACAAAGGCTTGCTCGAGAAACGGCGTATCTTCCAATTTTTGTCTGGGCTGTCTGTGGCTCTTGATGACGTTCGTGGCAGGATTCTGTTCGAGTTCTATTATCCTTGGCAGTAAATAACGATTGGATCCTTCATCAGCTAGATGTAAAAAATGCATTCCTCAATGGCAATCTTGAAGAAAAAGTCTATATGCAAGTTCCACCAGTAGTAAAAATTTATTCTGGAAATCACCGGGTATGTAAATTGTCGAAATCTTTATATGGTCTAAAACAATCACCTCAAGCTTGGTTTGACAAATTCACGAAGGTAATGTTACAGAACAAATACAAACAGTGTCAATCCGACCACACTTTGTTTGTAAAAATTGCTCCTGACAAGAAGCCAATCTTGATTGTCAACGGTGATGACATCATCATCACGGGTGATGAGTTAGTATAAATTGAGAAATTGAAGACCATACTAGCAAAGGAATTTGAAACCAAAGATTTAGGGACTTTGAGATACTTCCTGAGCATGGAAGTAGCAAGATCAAGAGAAGGAATTGTCATAAATCAAAGAAAGTACATTCTAAACTTACTTTCTGAGACTGGAATGACAAGTTGCAAGCCCTCAGAAACTCCTATCGAAGTTAACCTAAAGTTAAGTATAGAAGAAAATCGGTAAGGAACAATATCAAAAACTAGCTGTAAACTCATCTATCTATCTCTAACTAGACTTGACATCGCCTTTTCCATTAGCATTGTTAGTCAATACATGAATGAACATAGAGAAGAACATTTAGAGGCAGTAAATGGAATCTTAAGATATTTAAAGATGACACCAGGACATGGGTTGATTTTCAGAAAACATGAAGACAGAATAGTAAAAATCTTCTCATATTCAAGCTGGGCTGGAGAATTAACAGATAGAAGGTCAACCACAGAATATTGTTCGTTTGTTTGGGGGAACTTAGTGACATGGAGAAGCAAGAAACAACCTATACTCTCCAGGAGCAGTGCATAAGTAGAATATCGGGCGATAGCACTCGAGATTTGTAAAGGTATTTCGCTACAAAAGCTCTTAACTGAACTAGAGATATGCGACAACTACTTTGTACTTCAAAGTGACAGCAAATCAACGACAAGTATTGCAAAGAATCTGGTACATCACAACAGAACAAAACATGTGAAGATCGACAAACACTTCATTGCAGGGAAAGTGAATGGTGGAACAGTGAAACTAAACTACGTCTCCTCACAAAATCATCTAGCTGATGTATTGACCAAGGCACTTCCGAAGATTACCTTTGACGATATTATATCCAAGCTGGGCATTTACAATATCTACTCCCCAGCTTGCCGGGGAGTATGAGTAGTACTTTAGTCAAACTCTAATTCCTACATTATCTCTAATACTAATCTTCTAATTTGTAGAAAAGATAAAACTTCTATCTTATTTAGGTCTCTCATCTACTTGAATAAAACTCTTATGTATCCTCTTATGAAAAACATATTTTTTCTTTGAATAAAATTATTGCCTTCATCGTGAAAAGTAAACTTATAGCCTTCATCGTCAAAACCCTAGTTAACAACTTCTCAATGAAGAATTAAGGTTTCAAAACCTACAAAGCAATAGTGTGATAATCAAGCTACACCTCACATTGCTTCTAATCCAGTCTTTCATGAACGAACGAAGCACATTAGGTTGATTGTCATTTTCATTCATGAAAAGATCAAATAGGGCTTAATTATTACCGATTATATGAAAACTGGAGAATTAGGAAATATTTTCACAAAGACTCTTAACGGGATCCAGATTGATTATCTAAGTAAAAAGTTGAGCATGATTAATATCTATACTCGAACTTGAGGGAAGTGTTACATATTTACAAGTTATATTTTAGGATTAATATATTATAATCAATGTAGGATATTACGTTAACTATAATAAAACTTTATATTTGTATATATAACCGTGCTATTTTTGTTACTATTGTAATATGGTATTAAATCCACATAAGCTCTTACAAGTAAGCTAATTCTTTTTTTACCATCATTTAATCACAATATCCAACACCAGTAATCCTACAACACAACTCATATAGTCCAATTTAATCCCAATTCCAAGCCTCCTTTAAAATTAATCAATCCTCACAACTTTGCCAGCAGGAAAGCACAAGTTGAGTTCTTGATGTGGAATCAAGATTTCTTTTCCTATCTTTGACGAAACAATGGTCCTTCCTCAACCCATAACCACTAACAATGTATCAACCCATTACCCCCAACTACAAAATCCAATGATCAAATTGTTTACAGTAGCTTATTTTGTCACTAACAGTTCAACATAGATGGCCTCTTCATCAATTTAAATGTGAATAATTTGGTTCTTCAAAATCAGCTAGAAGAAACGTATATATGTGCCAACCTCTTGGATATGATCATCTAGAGTATCCTCAATGCGTATTCAAACCTCAAAGGCCTACATTAGTCTACATTTTAGTCTATATAGATGGCATAAAAGAGACTAGAATATCTAATATTATTCAACAAGTTATAAAGGCCTTACTACTCAGTTCTCGATAAAATATTTGAGTCCTCCCCACTATTTTCTCAATATTGAAGTTATGCACACTGATGATGGTATTCTTCTTTCTCAAGCAAAATAATCTCATATCTACTCGCAACATATAATATGACAAAGTTCTATCAAAAAAAATATATAATATGACAAAGTGTAAAGCTATTCAAACACCAATGGGGTCCAACACATCTTTGTTTCTTAACAATGGCAAGCAATACATCCCGGTTGATATGATCATCTAGAGTATCCTCAATGTGTATGCAAACCTCAAAGGCCTACATTAGTCTACATTTTAGTCTACACGTGACATAAAAGAGACTATAACATCTAATATTATTCAACAAGTTATAAAAGGCCTTACTACTCAGTTCTCAATAAATAGTCACAGTTCATGCATGCACCAACTGTTACACATTGTTCACATGCCAAATAACCACTATATCATCTTCAACGTACCAAAAATCATAGGTTGCATATAAAAAGTAACGTCTCCTACACTATTCATGTACTACATTGCAAATCAAGGAAGTGAGGTTAATGAAAGAACTTCAAAATCAGGTTGCATTTTATACTTCAATACAAATCCCATAAATTGGTCATCAAGCAACGTATTGTTGCATGTTCTTATATTGAGGCCGAATACCAACCTATCTCTTCCACACTAACTGAAGTAAATTGGGTTCAAAAACTCTTGGATGAATTGTATGTCCTTTTACCAGAACCTCCAATATTATATTATGACAACATTGGTGCTACTTATCGATGTAAAAATCTGATTCTCCAAACCAAATGGAACATATTAAGGTTGATTTTCACTTTGTAAGAAACCAAGTACAGTAGAACAATATACTTGTCCAACATCTTCATGTTATTGATCAAACTAGCAAACTCACGAAACCATTACCGCATCAAGTTTTTCACCAACATCTTCCCAATCTCAAAATTATTGAAACAACCTTGCAAGGGTCTACTAACAAACTTCTAGTTTGCCTTGGTCTTCTCATTTACTTGTTGGTTGATTGGTTGTTATTTAAATTCTAGTATCGTGTTCTAATTTGTGTTTCACCTTTTAGTTATATTTTTTTAATCTCCTACTATAATGGAGTACTCTTAGGCTAACATTGCAATTAAATAGCAACCCATATAACCGACAATGTTCTTGTTACTTTGTTACTATTGTAATGATTATACCCAATAGAAAGTCCAAAATTAGGGTTAAGAGTTGTGAATATAAATGCAACAAAAAGCATTAATTGATAAAGGAATAAATTGTCAACTTAAAAAAACAACAATATTCATTTTAACAATCATGAGAAGATATGAGAAAAAAGACACGTACGGTGTGCTTGATATCAAAAGCATGAGTATCTTGAATAGCAAGACCAGCAATCGACTATTAGTTTCATGTTGAATTAAGTGCAGAAGACCTACATCACAAAGGTAAGGGCCAACAATAGCTATTAAATAAAAAAAATAGAACCCAAGGCAAGCTAAGTTTGGGAAAATATGAACTACAAAGGATTAGTAATCAAGTACCAATATGCAGTTGCATTAGTATCTGGCCAAGTGAACTAGAAAGTGCCATAAAAGATCCCAATTTAGTAGATTCTTTATATTCTGCTACCTGGAGAAAAACAGTTGCAGGCCCATCCATCATGACGGCCAAAGCTGAGGCAGATGCCATCCGTGCCTAGGCATCATAAAATTGCTCATATAAGCATGATTGTCAACCAAACTAAACATGAGGAATAGATATTAAATAATTGCCAAAAACTTATGTTTGAAGAGGAAAAAACTACAAAAAAACAAAAGCTTTACCTTCAAGTAAGGATCAAATAACAAGGATGACATCAAAGTAGCTTCAAATTTCCTGTAGTCGGCTATGTTAAATAAATGGAAAACAAAGACAACTTTCTAGAGGAAAACAGATGAGAATAAACAAAGAATTTAAGGAAAATTAGCTCAATGAGATTAATAGTAGGATTACAGTACCTTGGTTTTAGTACATCATTGGTCGGCAAAAGCATTGTCCATTGAGATGTAAAGGATTTGGGATCAGCTTGACAAAGATCCTGCACCAGAAACATACAACCAAAGAAGACCGATTAAAGTTCATGTGTATGACTGCACAAAGTAAAAGTACACATGGTAATCCAAGTATTTTGGAGTAATTAAGGAATTAGGTTACTCCTTTTCTTAGGGATAGTATTATGTGACAATGAGATCGTTCCTTGGATTTTAAGGGCGCAAGGCGCACCGATGCACAAAAGGTCCTTGGAGCCTAGGCGCAAGACGCAAGCGCGCGCCTTTTGTATGCAAAGCTCACTTTTTGTGCTAAAAGTTTTATAAATTAAGTTAAGAACAAATCCACATCCATTAACTACTGGTTCACTCCTAAAACACTTAATTTCCTTCCCAAACTATGTTCCTTTACAATTGCTTATTCCCTCCTCAAGAGTCAAGCCCTATTTCTACCATTTACAAAACCTTACCTTCCAAAACACTTCGAAACAATTAGGGTTACACACTTACACTATAATAAACTAATGGTTGCATGTTCCAACTATGTGGAACAATAATTTGTTCACATAAATTAACAAAGAGCAGCAACACTTATCCTAAGGCAACATTACTATTATAATTATATAATATTTCAATGATAAAAAATTATTATAATTATAAAAATAGTTATATAATTCTTATTTATCTATATATTTAATATCTTTTTATATCTTAATTACATTTTTTCTATTCTTTTTTTGATAAGAATACATTTTTTCTATTCTATTAATTCTATTAATTAATTTGTTTTGACAAATGAGTCGGTTGCTTTGTATTATTGCAAAAAGAAAGAAAATAACATTGGTATGCCCGGGACAATAACTGTACCCCAAAAAACTGAAGCAGGCAGAATAATAAAGAAAACAGAAACTGTAGGGGAGCAATAACTTAGATTAATTTATTATATTATAGGTTATCATAACATAAAGACAAAGAAGGGTGTGGGAATAAGGCGGAACTAATATATTATAATTAATTTATTATATTATAGAGCAAAAGAACTAAAAAGGGTAAGCAAAAGATTAGAAAAAAGGTGAAATGCATAAAGCGCAGAAGTGGCACCAGCCTGGCGCTTCACCAAAAAGCTTCAAAAGCAGTGCGCCTATGTGAGCTTCCTGTATGCCGCTCTGCCTTTATCTTTCAAGGCGTTTTCCGATGCGCTCATAAGCACCTTGCGCCTAGGCACGCTTTTTAGATTTACAATTACCTTTCCCATTCATGGCCAGAAAGAATCTATGAAATGTCAGTATGTCACCAAGCAAGCAGTGCCATTCCACCAAATTTTTTTTTTAAATAGAAGATTAGGCCTCATTAAAAACCCCCTTCTTACCCTCCATGTTACGAAAATAACATGAAGGGCATTGGAAGGAGGAAAAGAGTGCCTATAATTTTATTAATCTGAAGAATAATACACTGCCACCCCTAACAACAAACTTAATACCTTCCCACAAAAACATAAGACTTAAAAACCACCTGCTGAAAAACCTTAACACTAATTACATAAGACTGGAAACAAAATCCCTTCTAAAAAGAAGGGAATCCACCCTCTAACATCCCACAAACAAAGCCAAAAAATCAACCTATACCATCTTTAGCTAATCTATCCGCTTCCCAGTTGGTAGCCCTCAAGATAAGCCTTAACAAAATATCCTTCCCTTCCTTAAAAGAGACGATCTCCTTCACCAAGGATTGGAACATAGGGTTGCTTAATTCCGGATTTTTGATCCACTTCACCGCGACACTTGAATCCGATTCTAAAATAATCCTCTGATTAAGATCCAAACATGAATCATTAAGCATACTCAGCCCCCTCTTTATCGCCAAAAGTTTTGCCAAAATCAGAAGACCACCCCTAACCTTTTCAGAAAACCAGTGAATCATCACACCACTACTATCCCTAATCAGACCTCCTATACCACCTTTATTCCAGCCCTTCACCATTGCTCCATCAACATTGATCTTTAAGAACCCATCTGGAGCAGGAACCCAGCAAGTGGGTTAGGATCTTCCTTTCTTCTGTCTATCAACCGAATCAGCAAGAGTAAGGTCACCCACTAATGAGTCAAAAGGGATATGCATGTCAAAACTAGCAGCAAACCAAGACAGGATTCTAAAGCAAGCAATAAAGAACAACCTCACCACATCCAACTTTTCCTTCTTAAAAATAACCTCATTCCTGCTTTTCCATATCGTCCACAATACAGCCCTTGGTATGAATTTCCAAATACAAGAATTCAGAAGTAGATCATCCCACTGAAAAATACAGTCTAATATGTTATTTGGAATAATCCAAGAAATGTTCCACAAATTTGAGAATCTAGCCCACAGTCCCCAAGTTACCTCACAATGCAGGAAAAGATGTGAAATTGTTTCCCCAAAACTGCCACACAACAGACATAAGGGATCTTCAATCCCGACCACTCCACGCTTCAACAATTCCTCCTTAACCGCCACTCTCTGATGAACAACTTGCCATAAGAAGGTTTCAACACAGGGAGGTGGTATCCCCACCCAAATATTCCTATCCCAAAAATCCTGATTCCCCTCAATACTGACCGAGTCAAGAAAATTCTTAATACAAGAATTAGTAGAGAAGCAGCCCTCTCCATTCCCTAACCAAATCCAGCAATCTTCCTCATCATGAGACAATTCCTTAACCATTGCTCAATCTCCCAGTCCAGCAGATTCCTTCTCATTTGAATATCCCACACCCAGCCTGCAGCATTATTCGCCCTAAACTCCACCACTTTACCCATTTTATTAATCGAAAGAGCATATAGTCTAGGGAACAAATCTTTAAGGGGGACTTCTCCCAACCAAACATCATTCCAAAAAACCACAGAGTGACCGTTACTAGCTTTCAACCGCAAATTACTCCTAATATAATCCCCAAACCCATCATTAGAAAAGAAGTTATTAATTACTCCTCTCCAAATCCAAGAGGCACGAGCCGTCCAAGTATTCTCCAACATTTTGCAACTCGGGTCCAAGTTGTTCACACAACAAAATAAAAAAAAATAAAGATATTCAGCATCAAAGGGTTGATGGCACCAATACACGTTAGTTTATCCCAAGAGTATAAGCAATATCACGACAAAAAAATAAATACCATTACCAACAAAATGCTACAAAAGGTAGAGGACAATCTAGATAATTGTTTAGAACCCAATAAAAAACAGTTGGATACTTGAGAAATTCCAGCATCAACATAAATGATAGGTCTTTACAGAAAAGCTGAAGACCCTTGTAAATGGTGAGGAAAGACTTAAGAATGTACTAATAAAATATTTAGGATGTTTAAAACAGCATTTTGTTTAATTTTATGAACATGGAGCGCAACTAACTGTATAAACCAATTTAAGTTGACTTCCAACCTAATTATTTACAGACATAACAAATCCTAAATGCACGGAATGATGGAATATCAAATCAAACAAATAATACAAACAATAAAAAAAATATCCTTCGATGCCATACCAATGACCAATGTTGATTTCATAGTAATCCTTCAATTCATATGATTAATCAGAAAATTCAAAATTTAGAATACAGATTCCAGTTCTAAAAGACTTGGTTTACACGGTCATATTGTATGACCAAGGTTCTGATATCATGCTGTGTCATGAGTATTCCCTCTAATTCCCTGATCATAAACAGACCAGTCAAATTTAAAAAACTGTCAAAATTCAATATGGAATACCAAAAACCACATCAAACAAGGCACATAAACATTTAGGGAACCTAAGAATCAAAACTTAGCCACACCTAAATATGAATGGTGTTCTAGTATTACCTGTACACAAACAATGGCAGATACTCTAATCTTTGAGCAGCGAGAACCATTAATATCTTTGAGTGATCCATCACTGTCACTGTAATCAGAATCTGATGATGTAACATCAGCCATAGAAGAAATATGATCAGAAGAACCCTGAAGATACAAAGATTTAGCCTGCCTAGCATTTAAACTCTCCTTTTTGCGCAAGTGTGGCGGCCTATATGGTGTATTATTTGTCCTTTTAGGCTCTTCTACAGTCAACTTAAAACTCGGAAAAACAGATTCTTTATCCTTGGAACTGCCCGCAGCACATGTGAGTTGGGTTCCACTAGTAAGGCCATAAACGAAAAACATTCGCAAGTATGCGACAAAACTAGACACCTGAAGCACATTAATATTACACACTCATGAAGTAGAAAAAAAAAAGTTAACATTTATAATTAAACTTATGGCCCTGAGTTGTGATGATTTGCTTACATGTTCAGAAATAGAACCTTTAGGATCCATAAGAACCAAATGAAGGCAATGCAGAAGAGATGCATAAAACCTGTACACAACAAGAACTCTTGTCAGTTAATTCTTGAAAGAGCAATATCTAATATTTTGTTTTTTCAATTTCTATTCATGGGTAAGGAAAGCATGGGAGGAAAGATCGATATCTAATTTTATGTTTTTTCAATTTCTCTTCATGGGCAAGGAAAGCATGGGAGGAAAGATCATACCTTGACATGATAATTTCTTCCACGACCAAATTCTTGGAGGCTAATAAGTCCATCAACTTCCTAAAAACCTAATTTATAAAATAAAAATAATCAACTTTAGCAACATGTTTACAGATGTCATCAAAGCCAAGTAGAGGACTTACCTGAATAGTTGATTGCCAAATATCAATTGGAAAAGAAGAACCGGTCCTTGAATATAGTTCTCCAAGCATAGTAAAGGAAGCAGTTTGAACTTCCCATAAACTACCATTTCGTGGTAATTTCTTCCCCATTTCAATAGCACTCTTTTGATTGCCGCTTGAAGAATACAAGGAGATTACATTCATATGCATACGTGCAATGATGTGGAGAACAACATTTACCAACTGAATATCATCTTGCAGAGAGAATTTTCGTTGGTTTTCACCAACAAGATGTCTGGGGATTAAAAAGAACGCCACTGAATTTGAGCAAGCATAAAAAATGAAAATAAAAATGCATAACAAAAGGAAGTGAAATTGAAAGAACCTGAGAGTTTCCAAGCATTCCAAAACTGGTTTATACAAAGAAGCAGTGGAGGTTTCTTTGGAAAGAAAATAATCCATTAGTTTGGTGAGGGAATCAAGAAGCAAAAACCAAGACGAGGAATTGATATCGAGAGGAACTCGATGACTAAGATCATGGATCTGGGGCAAACAATGATATGATTAGTTACTATATAACATATAAAAGAATAAGAAAAACAAGAACAAGAGTGATTGAAGCTCAAATACCAATCGGCAAGTGTTTGAAAATGTAGGGACCAAATCGTGTTGAAATTGGCATGCATTGGCAACAAGCTGGACGAGAAATAACAGATCGGAAGTCACCTGAAACCAAAATTCGAAATGCATTGTCATTCAATGAAAAAGTAAGAGTACAAGAAAACGGTGGCGTTTAGGGAAACAATGAAGACACCTCGTGGGCAGGGAGGTCGGAGGCGGCGGAGATGAAAGAAGAGTGAGCGTCCGAGAAGATTAGGGATTGTAAAAGATGAGGGATGGAAGGAGGGTTCGTTAGGGTTTCGTCTCTCAGAGTGAGAAATGCCGTTCTCCATGACCTCACCGCCGTCACTGACGATGATGATGCCGCCATTGACGGTGTCTCCGCCTGGAATTGGTCCGCAAAAGATCGTTCAAGAACCGAATACTACACGCTTGATTATGTAGCACGTCGTGGTAATTGGACTGCGGGCCGCCCAATGCAATCAGCCTAACGTAAGTAAAAGCTCAATAAGGCTTGTTTTTTGGCCCAATAGTGCGTTTAGATTAAAATTAGGGTTTTACCCTTCCTCAACTTTAAATTCGGGATCTATGACATTTGTTGCAGTGTCGGGCAAACTCGTCACCTGGAGGTGACGAGTTCTTTGAAATATGTTTTTTTAATTAACTCGGATGAGTGGGTCCTATGTGAGCCATTAATTTATGTTTTTAAGCAGACTCGTCACGTTAAGGTGACGAGTCCAAAAACAATTTTTTATTATAGACAAAAATTAAATTATAAATTAAAAAAGGGTAACTTGTCACCTCAAGATGACGAGTTCCTTCGAGTTCAAAAAACTAGCCGTTTTGTAGTCGTTGGTTAACTAGCAGCTACTACAGTGGTGACGAGTTCCAATATATTTTTGCATTATAGTCGTTGGAATTGGGGCTATAAAAAGGGGTTTAGGGTTTTGATTTTACATTAAACCCTAAATCTAAAAAATTATGAAAACCCTACTTTATGTGAAAAATCCCAAAAAATGACTTCCCGAACAGACATGTTGCGCCTTGACAACGTCCATATTTCATCGATTGAACTCCATCCGAAAGAAGAACGGAGTATTCATTAGCACGAGATGACTTCAAAAGATCAGCATCAGCGGATGTTGATATATCTTCAGCAATCCAGTCTATTTTCATCCATATTTGTGTGTGGCTTCAAGGTGTACATGGCGTTGATTAAGGCTCTGATCGAACGTCGTCGGCCCAAGATACACACTTTTCATTTCCTGAGTGGAGAAGTGACGATTACTTTGGAAGATGTCGCTGAACAACCTGGTGTTCCTGTGAATGGAGCTCCTGTGGTGAGGCAGAACAATTACGACACCAAGACGTTGATATATCAAATTTTGGGAATGTTGACACCATCCGAGTTCATCGATGGCTATGGGGTACGGATGACGTGGTTGGAGTCTGAATTCCAAGTGATGGTCGACTCTTTCGAGGACGAGGTTATTTTTTAGTCCCGAGCATATCTTCTCAAACTGATCGGAGGGGAATTATTACTGGATAAATCTGGTAATTTGGCGCACACTCAGTATCTTTGAATAATAAATGACTTCGTTGAGTGTTGCAAAACCAGTTGATGCTAGACGATTTTAGCATTTATGTACCGGGAGCTTTGCAAGGCTGCAATTGTCGAGCAGGGTAGAAAAGCTAATGTAGCAGGCTTTCTAATATTGCTACAATCTTAGGTTTAGTATCGGTTCTCGTTTTTTACACGGATTACAATAGCCCCAATAGAGTTTCCTCTTGGTGGAAAGTAATTTTTAACTTCTTTTTAAATTTGATTAACTTAATTAATTTTTTTATTTGTTTTTAGTTTTTTCTATTTTTAAATATTTTAGATGACGCCATAAAATAACTGAGACGAAGTTGTCGGGTGCAACTGCAAAAAATATACGGATAAGGAACGACATCGCTGGTCAATATACGGTATACATTTGTTCTTTTATTATTTTTTTAAAAAAAATTAAACTTTATATATATATTAACTTTGATATGTAATATTTACAATTTTTTTGGCTTTCGTATATTGACAACGATATCTACTGATTATTGCCGCCGTAATTTTTTGAAGGGTTCGATTTATGGTGTGTTACGACACTATTATTACATTTTGTGATTGTTGAGTGGTATGATACTGATAGAGTACTGTGACAGTATGCATCGCATCAGCCGATTTCTATGCAAATCATTGAGATGGACACGCTCCATAGAATTGATATATGTGGGAAACATATCAAAAATTGGTTGGCGAAGCAAGGTTACTACATCGAGCTATAGAATCAGAGTCACCTATCGCTCCCCCGCGTTATGAGATTACACCGATGGACCTAAATTTCAACCATTCTTTTTATCTTCGAAATTACAAAGCAAATGGAAAACCATATCTCACAACACCACAATAGAGGGGATAATGGAAACAACATCAGGCCAGATTCCCTAAGTCCAAGAAGAAATCATCGACGTCTTCTTCTTCTACTTCAATATCTGCAGCTGAAGATTACTATTATGCATCTCAGGCTAGTTTTTGTTTCTATCATACTTCAACTAAGACTCAGCTGACTTGGGTTGGAGGTTCATGGGATACAATGCAACACACTAAAACATTTTCGATAGAGCATGTGGATGAAGGTGAATGAGATCATATTCTATATGGTCAACAACATAGCCGCCAAGTCGATTCAGTAACAGTAATGATTACGTCAAATACCATAAGTTCATCATCGTATTTCAAAGGTGGATCTCAGAGTGTGTTAAGTACACCTCCTCAACAAGATGAAGATGACGACGACAATGACGATCAAGGTCGACGACCCATGTGTACTCGACGAGCCGTGAGCTCATTTAAAAGGTGTATATGATTGAAAGGAATAAGTATCTGGAAATATATCTTCTTCTTCTTCTTCTTTAGCTAAGCCGTGAGCTCATTTAAAAGGTGAGTTTCTTACAAGTTGGTTGTTTCTTTAATTTTAAGTTTGGTTTTTGGTCTTTGGGTGTTACATAAGTTTAAGGAAAGCTTAAGGTTACTAAAAACTCAAAGATGGATAAGTTATGAGAGATTGAATAAGGAGTTTTTAAGTGAATTGTTGAGAGAGAGTTTGTAAATGAAATTGGAAGTCATATTTGACTTGTCATCATTTAGAATAAGAGATTTAAGTGGTAAAAAAGGATTAAAAATCAATTTGAATTATTGGTATGATTTTTGGTTCTAATTGTTCTTTGGGAATTTTGGATGTTTAAGTGTGTTAAAGAGTTGTAAGTTAGTATTTATAAGTATGTTATGGTTTAAAGGTTTGAAAGTGGTTAAAAGTAAGGGTTATGGTTGGGTTTAGTAAAATTTTGAAATGGAAAAGGTGATTTCTTGGTAAGGGGTATCGGTACTAGATGAACAGTACCGATACTCCAAAGTAAAAATAAGAGATTTTGGGTTTGGGTATCGATACTAGATGAACAGTATCGATACCATAATACCAAAAGTTGATAAATCCTTCATATAATATCGATACTGAAGTAGTAATATCGATACCAACGTTTAAGTATCGGTACTATTTTTAGATTCGAAATCCAGAATGTTAAGAGGGTATCGATACTAAAGTGTAGTATCGATACCACAGTAAAGAAGTATCGGTATTGTACCTTGGGTACCGATACTATTCATATGGAATTGGTGAATTAAATGTTTTGTTTAGCTTATGATAATAAGAATTGATTATAATGATGAATTTCGATATTCATATTGATCATATATTTGTGTAGATATCAAACGAAAGCAAGTATCGGACGAGTCAACGACATAAGATTGATCAAGTGAGTGATAAGAGTTATAAGTGTTGCTTTGACTAGTGAGGCCAATGTGAGTGCATACTATTAGGTATACAATTTTTTATGGAAATAAGACTTACGATGAGTCTATTTCCAATATTATGATTTCATGAAAAATAATATGTTGTTAATATAGTTTCTATGTGTGCATGATTATAAGTATAGTTAGTAGTTGTTGGTATGTGAACATGTATTATTATATTCTCTTCTATGTGAATATCTGAAAATGTGATATAAGTTATATGATCATGAGCTATGTAAATATAGGAGTGTGTGATAATCTATGTGAACTGGTATAATTGGCGTATATGATTGAATGAAAAAGTGAGATAAGCTAATTAGCATTAACCTTTGTTATAACATGAGAATATGATATAAAATATGTGATATTGACATAAGTGATTACATGAACATGTAATATAAGTTATGTGATGAGGATCTATGTGAATACATGTTTGTATGGTTACTATGTAAATATGAAATAAGTGAATGCATTCCTATGTGACAAGCTATGTGAAAATGAACTAAGTGAATATATGAAACTAGGATATAAATGATGTAATATAATATAAGTGATTATGTGAAACCTTGAGATAACTATATGGCATTGAACTACTAGACTATATGAAAATGGGTACATAAGTATATGCAGAAGTTTATGTGTTATATACATCATGATACATAAGCTATGTGTTATATGTAATTCTATGTGATAGATGATCTACGTGATTACATGAACATAAGATATAAACTATGTGACATAATCTATGTGATCACTTGTTTACGTGAAATAAGATATAACAAATAATATAAATGGTAAAGCCCATAGTATGTGATATGAGAGTTGAGGGTATAATTGGCATTCCAAGAGTCAAAGGTTCTACGCGATCCTCCGGGACAATTCTACGTGGTCCTTCGGGACATTTCTACGCGGTCTTTCAGGACATTTCTACGCGGTCCTTCGGGACATCTATGTGGCCCTACGGGACATTCTATGTGGCACTTTGGTGCAATTTCTATGCGGCATTTCGGTGCAATTTATACAAGCTGTGGTGACAACATTTGTGCACAACCTCAATGCACTCACATACCTTAAGTTCTTAATGATATACATGGGCTATTAAAAGAAAAATATATAAATGAACAATGAATGATAATGATTGATAATTGTGATGATGATGATGATATGTATAAAAAGGCATATATGCTTTTGTTATATGAGATATTTTATGATTTCTTGATATGATGTTATGATATGTTTAAATGGTTGCAAATTTTATTTCTCAATAATGTACCATAGACTAATAAAAGAAATAACATGAATGAACCATGCATAATGTTATATGTTGTTGTTTGTTAAATGCATGATGAGATATGTTACGGTTGATTAAATATATATGATATTTTTGTATGTTATGAAAGTATGTGATTACATGTTCAATAAGTCATTTATGCATTTTATGCCTCACTAAGTCATCGACTTAACGTGTGAGTGTTTCACACGTAGGTTCCGAGAAGCAAGAAGAGCAAAGTTAGGCAAGTCAAATCAGCTTCTCCTTTCCGAAGATCAGATCA